TTTTTTGTCCACTTAATTTCTATATTTTTTTTTAAATAAATTACCCCAGAATTTTGGACTGGGACATATTCTTAAAAGGTGCATTTATTGGCTTTCGTGGAGTTTTTTGTTTCTCTGATTTTGTTAGGCTCACATCTAATTGGATGATAAGCTCGGCTACAATTTTTCAGCCTTTTATTTATTTATTTTTTGAAATACTAATTACATTATTTTGTTATCAGGTTTTTTTATAATATAAAATTATTTTTTTGACTTAAGTGTAGATATATTATATGTTAAAGATATATTTATTTCGTAGGCAGCAAAAAAATGCGCCATGATCATATAAAAAAAAAAAACAAAAACAAAAAACTCGCAACATAATAAAGCTTGTTAGATAAAAACACCATTTGTTTTAAGAACGAGAGTTGACAAGCACAAATCCACGAAAAAGAATCTTAGTTCACTGGAGACGGACGGCCCCTAGAGGTACTCCTAGTGGACCATCTGTCGGCAGTTTCAAGAGGTGAGCCGTCAGAAGCCATTCTTTTGAAGCTTTGGCACAATTTTCCCGACTGCCGGTGGTGGTGTCGCCTCCACAGGTGGCGGCTCGGAAGTAGTCTTAGGAGGAGCAATTGGGGTAGTTGATCGTGTGGACCTCCCCAGGATTTCTTCCCTGCGCTGCCTCTCTTTCTCCTCTATTTCATCAAGCTTTGCTTTTCTCTCAGCTTCTTCTTTCTTTCTCCGCTCCATCTCTGCCCAACACGTCAAATTACTATGTAACCAAATTTATGACAAAATGCTATCGTCATACAGTTGAAAGAAAAGGAAATTGGTTTTTACCTTGGCGCTTGCGAGCTTCCTCCTCTTCATGCAACCTTTTTTGCCTCTCCTCTTCGCATCTCAAGAAAAATATCAACTTCCTATTGGCCTCACATTCTACTTTCCGTGTCTGAATAATATCCGCCACCATTTTTCCTCTATCCGCCTTAAGCCGCTCGTATTTGGATTTCCGAATGTTCAGCACTTGTTCTTGGAATATTTTCTGTCAAACGTGACCAAAATTAGCAGACATCCTTAGAGTTTTCATTAATACCAGAACACCCCTCTACAAGTTTTCGTAATTGCATGGAATCTTCATGAGAAGTTAGTTATCTGATTATCCCATAAACGTAATAAAAGAAGACCAGATATTGAGCGAGAAAATGGAAAGGTACAAGAACCTTGTTTTCCAACATCCTGCTTAGCCTCCGTTTTTCCTCCACATCTCCAGCATGTCGCTGTCCGCTTGCATCCACTTCTCTCTGTATCAAGATTAAATAAGATAAGCAAATGCACTCACAGAAAAACACACAAAATTCAAAAAAAAAATCATTCCATAGATATTCAAGTGCAGCTACAGAATACGAAAAAGAAGCCTCCTTCTTGCACTAAATTAAAATACAAATTATAAATAGATATATTCCAGCTCAAAACAAGATCCCTGATTCAAACCTGCTGTTCAAGCTCATGTAAAGCCTCTTCTTCAACTAACCGCCGTTGGAACGAAGCTTCAATAAGTGGGGCTGCCTCCTCTCTTTTTGCCCTCTCCAAGTAATCCATAGTCTTGCAAAGTTTAACTAATTTTCTCTCCATTTCTTGCTTCTCCTTGAGTAAATCATTATGAGCAAGCTCCATCAGCTCCTCCCTTGTTAAATTTTCCTGAATCCAAATGAAATTAATTAAAGAAATCATTCAAATCTAAAAATAGAATGGAGAAACTAAATGTAGGGATCAGATCAGCCAACTCACTCCCTCCAACTCATTCAGATCTATTTGGTGTTCGACAAAGTCATATAATATTACGAATATTGCTTTCATTCATATATATTATTTTACCTAATTTTATTGTTTAGGATCAAGCATGCGTAAGGATAGACATTTAAACCTCACTGTAAACATTCAGGTTAAAGTAGAGAAGCAGAATTGACAATGCACAATGTGGGAAAGACGGTGCAGGACCTATGTCTCAGATATTTCACGAGGCCCAAAGCAAGATGTTTTGTAAGAAAATGAGTTGCCAAAAACCTACACTAAACTTAATTTTAAAGGCAATATTGTTAGTATACATGGTTAAATAAAAAGAGTGATTTAGATTAGCTAAAAGTGGGGACATGAAATGTCTGAAAAGTAAAAGGTCGAGGTACTTTCCAAATGCATCCTCTACAAATGGCCTGGGATTACTTAAAAGAAAAAATATGAGTAATTATAATCCAATTTAACTACATAAAAATGACTAATGTATTAAAATCTTTTTATCACGAGCATTGCACGAATAATTACAAGTACACTATGAAAATGGACCAGAGCTGCTGGAGAATAGAAGAGTCAACAATGAAATGATTACCTTGTTACCAAAGAAAATGGCACCTTTCTTGTAATCCACTTTCATTGTTAAGAAATTATTTTTTACTGCATCCGCTGATATTTTCTCTACGGTAGGAAAATCAAAGAAAGGAATCATCCTTGATAAGTTGTCAATATTCATGGACTGGTACACCTGTGAAACCTGAAAATAACATATACAGAAAGAATGATCAATTCAAATAGGCTAAGAGAATGAACAAGTATTTGGTATCACTTCCATTTAAATTTTAGAAACTTCTTTGATCAGGTAAGTAAAAGAACCTTGAGAATATATAAATGGCAATGGGATACTAATGTAATGATTAAATCTGGTATGATACGATGTAGTAAATTAATGGTTGTATATGATTGGTTAGTAACGGTAGTGGGTCAATAGTGAAAATTTATAGATAATGCGTATTAATAATTAGTGATTTGATGATTTTTATTTTGAAAATGAGTTGAAGAGATTGGTGGGTGTAAAATATATAGGTCAAAATGAAGCGTGCATTAAAAAAATCATTGAGAGAACATTTTATTGGAAGTGTCCCACGGGATCTAAGTATTTGAACAGGGAGCAGCACGAATACATACCCGTTGCAGCAACCTAAGAGCAGAAAGCTTTTTCAGAGAAGGAACATATTGAGAGAATTGCAATTCTGGTACAGAACATGGCGTACCAAACTTTGAAATTTTCGATAATAAGGGTTGCACTTTCAGAGTCAAGTCAAAAGGAAGATTTTCGTGCTCCAAGATATGGTAAAGATCCTTCACTTCCTGGTTAACACAGCTCATCACTCCTTCGGCCACCTAAAGAGAGGCCAGAGAGAAGAGTTAGGAACACTATAAATGACATAAACAATGCATGGCAAGTTGGGCGAGATGCTTGAATTTAAAGCAATTCCACCGAAGTCATAGAATTGAACTAAAGGGTGTGAGATGGATTGATATTGTTGTAGCTTACCAATTCCAAGAGCAGTGATGACCTTGAAAGCTGAAACCAAACAAAAAAAAAA